GCCCACATTCTTGTTTGTCTTCTATCTGGAAAGAGGTTAATGGCATGTTCTGTGGGGCGTGGGTAAACATTTCCCCTGTAGAGCTCACAGTGAGGGGTCAGTCTGCAATCTCTGGCTGGGGACAGCATGCATACAGAAGGCTAATATAGCAAGTCCTGTCTTCCTGACAGATTGGGAGGGGAGAAAGAGAGAGAGAGGGAGCAAGTAAGAGAGTGAGAGAAAAAGAGAGAAAAGAGAGAGACTAGGATTCTTGCTGTGTACCAAGCTTAGCTACCGAGTGTAAAAGTAAAAAAAAAAAAAAAGTACAGCCTGCGTCATTTTGCCAATGGATTAAAATTTTGATCTGATCATTTTAGGTTAAATGTTTAATCACCATAAATGTTTAAATTGTGACAGCTTTATATATATCTATATATCTATATATCGATTTTTGATTTGTGTCACTCACTGCAGCGACCTCAACAGGCTGTTAAAAACAGACCAAATATAATGATTTCTTTGGTGACATGACATGTCAAATCTATTATGCTAATATTTAAAAATCATTTGGAAAGGAAGGAAATTTAGATGCATAACTTTCCTTCTAAATTCTAATGATTTGGTTATTGGACTTACTTGCAGTTTTAATATCATATCATCTACAAAAGTTTTTTTCTCAGACAGCTGAATCTCCCTGCTCTTTGGATTTCTCAAATGTAATGTTTTCCTTTCCTTTTTGTTTTTCTCCTGCTGCTCCCAAGTAGCCGTGATGATTTACCAGTGGGCTCTAAGGCTTTGTGTGCATTTAAAGGCTCAGGAACCATCAGGTATCAGTCAGAAGAAAAGAAGCTGCAAAGCTCTAAATCCACACTCATCTCTTAGTTTTCCATTTTTATCGCCTGTCTACAACAATAAATTTGATGAAACCTAATTTGACGACAGACTGACCATTGGAATGCGCCATATTACTTCATTAGAAATCTTCCGTGTCGGTTCACAGAAACGAAGAGCTTGGTATTTCTGGTTGTTTGTGTTTCCTTTATTATTGCTCGCTCGTTTATGTTGTCACACCGTGTGCCGTTCACCGACGGAGCAGAGAAGAAAAGTGACACACCGAAAAGTGAGAAAAATCTATTTGTGTGTGAGTCTGTGATGGATAGAAGGCTGTGGGATGTGTGGTCTCCACGGGAGGCGGCGACTCTTACATCACCTCCAGACTGGATGTGAGTGTATTTCGCATAATTCACATCCCTTTATTTGTACAGCGTGTGCAGCATTTAAATTGCCACCAGGGATCCTGGCTGTGTCTGCTCCTGCTGCAGCAGCCTTTGTTTACATTATTTTTAATTAATTGCATGTAAGGAGCGTAATGATCTGGTGATGTCCCGCGCATCACATCCTGCTGCTACAGTTTGTACAGTAAATGTAATCAGAGATGCAGCCCCTGCCCTTGGTGAGCCCTAATGCCGTTGTGTTTATGTGCACATTCAGCACATTCCCCGATGTAATGCAGCATGGATCTGAGTGTGGACAGGTTAGGTCACGCCTGTGAATGATTTCTCTGTAGCCCTGATTAATTCCTGGGATGTTAACACTCAGACCGGAGCCAAATTGTTGCCTGGACGGATTCCATTAGCGTTTCCTGCGTTGCATTCCAAAACTTTATGTGTGTACAGGTAGAGTGATGACACAGGTTCACAGTGATTGCCTATAAACCTTGAGGCAGTCAGTGTATTTCCTTTTTGTTAACAACTAACAGCAAAAAGAGAGAACATAGAAAAACAAATATCTGTAAATGCAGCAACAATAGGTTATTTACAGTTGTGTCCAACAACGTGCTGCTGCGAAGCTGTGAATTGTCAAATTCTCGTTCGCTCCACTCTCAGGGCCGAGGGCCAGAGGAGGGGAGAACACAATCAGAAATGTCTTGTTTTTATATTTCCACTTAGGCTCATTCTATCTGTCTTTTTTTCTACAATTCTCTGCAGGAAGTGCTGAGTCATTTCAAAGCCTGGCTGTGATTGTCACTATGTCAGAACAGGAAACAACCAATCATCTTGAACAGGAGGCTGAGTGCAGGTATAAATAACCAAAACACCAGGGCTGTGATTCAGCTGCTATGATACAACCAGGGACGAGAATCGATAAGAATTTACAGATTCAAAATATCACGTATCGATTTGATCCCATGATTCAATTTTGATTCTGATTTTGATTATCGGGACAGGAATTTAAAAATGCAAATTAATTTATTTGCATTAACAACTTCATTTAAAGAATGCATTAACATGAGTCTGAGGAACCACAGACAGACTCTGAGTTACATTGGATTTAGTCGTAGGAATTTTTTTCCGTGTCTGTTTCAGAAAGTTAAGGAAGCACAAACAGCAGTTCATCTTGGCTGACGCCATAGAACAGAGCAACACAGCAACGCTCCGAATTCTTTTTATGTTATTTTTGAAAGTGCACCGATCTCATTTTGCAGACACTCATCTTTTATTTGTTATTTAAAAGAATGAATAAATCTGACGGAGACTCCACCTTAATTATTTAGTTCAACATCTGATTTCCCTGCTATTCTCATTGTCAAACCTCGACATATCTAACAAATGGCCTCAGTGGATTTTCTTCCTTTTTTGTAAATGTAACCATACTTCAGATGATTCAGCCTCAACGTCAAATTCCTTCTGATGCCGTCACAGAAATACGTCAGCAAGAAAAGAGTCTGTAGGATCAGTGAGGAAGCAGACAGAAGACACTGAGAACTCGACCTACATTTCCATCCTCAGATATAACACAGGACAAACTGATCTTAATGTTTCTGATGGTTTCCACATTCTTCTCTTCCTTAGACCAGGGCTGTCAAACTCAAATTCACAGTGGACCAAAATTAAAAACTGGGATGTCTTGGGTAAAACTGAATATTTATTGAAAAATAGTTCATGTTTTCCCTTCAGTTCAGATCTGCAATGTAGAATTTCTTCATATAGAAACAAACTTTAGTTTGTTTCTATATGAAGAACAAACCAACAAAAAACAAACCAACAACAACAAAAAAATGTATGTGCTATAACAGCGCATACATTGCTAATACTACAAATTTTGACAGTATATAATGAATATTTACTAGCGGGCCAACTCTAGTACCAAATTTAATTACAAAGAGGGCCAGATTTGGCCCCTGGGCCTGAGTTTGACACGTGTGACTTGGACTGTAAAAGTGATGACAGCAGATTCCAATTCCTCCATACAGAGAATCATCATAGTATTGGGAATATATTTTGTCTAATTTGAATAGTTCCAAACTATTTTTAGTTGAGTTTAAATCTGCCCACATCATGTGTGATCCTCTCACCGTTAAAGCTACATCACGTACGCTTCAACAATCTACAACAGTGATACATAATACCTATTTGGGTTGATGTGCTATTGGGAGACAGGCACCACACACTGATACAACAGTCTGTGTCTAGTATTACTGCAGGGTCAGAGCCTGAGGAGTCAACTGTGGAGCAATTGGATATCAGCTACTACAAACTGCACAGCACGGCCGGGTTTCCCACAATCCTTCTTTATTCATACATGAAATTTGTAAAATATTGACTAGAGGGTGTGTCGCACAGAAATGGGTCAGGAGGACGGCGTGCTACCCCCGGTATTCTGTGTCACCAGGCACAATGTCTGGAACCTGGAGTTTTTGACACTCTTTTGCCGCGCATCACGACGCAGACGCAGCCACCGTCGACACGCCGTGTGTCTTTGTCTGAGCCCACGGAGCAAAAGGTAAACAATACCTGTTCCCTAGTCGTTTTAGTTC